GAATTTTAACTGAAATGACGAAGCAAAAAATGGACATCATAGTGCTAGAATAGGGCAACCCAAGGTTTTAATCAGTTCCTTGTTATGGCTCTGAAGTATGGACAATTAATGAAGACCTGAAGAGAAAATTGTTGGCAGTTGAAATGGATTATTTGAGAAGTGATAGAACATCAAGGCTGGAAAGGAATACCAACGAATATATAAGAAATAACATGAATGAGACGTACAGAAACGGTCATAGACAGAATAGAAAGAAGAGGTATAAAATGGTTTGGACACCTATTGAGAATTCCTGACGAGAGTTGGCCCCAAGAACTTCACAGATGGAAGCCTCCTGGAAGAAGTATACCTAGACGATCATGGAATGAAGGAATTATAAGAGCAATGGAATCGAGACGTTTGGAGGAGGAGCATGCTTTGGATCGGGAGGATTGGCGGGGGAGAACGGGAATACGAAGATAGCCGTCGTATTTTACACGGATTCCTATTAATTTTTTTTTTTCGAACCTATTCTCTATCGCGTCTATCTGCTTGTTCTGTCGCGTCTACTGTCTGTTCTGGTCCTGATCCACTGGTTACGTTTTTTATCTTTAAGTGATATACCCAACATTTGTCTCTCCATCGCTCTTTGTGCCTTCCTTATCCTATTCAAATTGGCCTGTATAAATGTCCATGTCTGCGCTCCATAGGTGAGCACCGGTATTATACAGGAGTTATATACCTTGCTTCGTAAGTATAGAGATATTGTTTGATTTTTTAGAACTTAAGAAAGTTTGCCGAACGCTGCCCATCCCATTCTTACTCGTCTCGATATTTCGGCTGTTTGATTTTCTCTATTAGCTCTGATTGCTTGTCCTAGATAGATATACTCATTTACCTGTTCTATTTTTTCTGTTTGTATTTTTATTGCCTCTTGGTCTCCCCTGTTTGTCATTACTTTAGTTTTGTTGAAGTTAATTTTGAGGCCTTTTTGCAGTGATTTTTCATGAAGTTCATTCAGCATTAATTCCAGTTCTTGTCGTTCCGAGGAGATCAGGAGTATATCATTCGCATATCTAAGGTGATTTAGGTACTTTCCGTTAATACATATTCCTCTGCCCAATCTGTTGATTTTATTATATCTTCGAGGGTCAAGGTAAACAGTTTAACAGTTGTCGGACTCGTTTAACTTTTATATTATCCGTTATTAATTCGTCGTCCAGAATTATGGTCATGGTTGCGTTTTGGTAAATATCATGAATCAATTGTCGGTATCTTGAATCTATGCTACTATTGACCAGAGCTTCTTCAATGCTAAGTACAGCGGAAGGTTGTATTCATTGGTTTGTTTAATTAAGATTTTAAGCGCATGTAGATGGTCGATTGTGCTATATCCTTTCCTGAATCCGGCCTGTTCCACTGGTTGGTAGTTATCAAGTTTATAGGTTAGTCGGTTGTTTATTATTCTTGTGAAGGTTTTATATAGTTGTGACAAAAGGGAAATAGGACGGTAGTTGTTTAGGTCTGTTCGGTCTCCTTTCTTATGTATTAGGATTGTGTTGGCATTTCTCCATTGTTTAGGTATTTTACCTTCAAATAGACATTTGTTGAACAGTATTTTTAGCATTTTTTTTATCGTGTCTCCTCCTTCTTCTAGCAGTTTCGCCAGTATTTTGTCCTCACCAGCCGCTTTATTTCTTTTCATGTCGTCCATGGATTTTTCAATTTCATCTTGAGTTATTTCTGGTAATACCTCCGAGCCAACATTTTGTATTTTCCTCGAGAGATTCTGTTTAGATGATAGTGGTGGGTCATTTTTAGAACTCATCATCATCATCATCATTAGCCATTTTGCGTCCACTGCTGAACATAGGCCTCCCGTAAATAATTCCATTGCATCCGATCTTGAGCAACTTGAATCCAGTTAGACTGGATGCGCTTTAAATCGTCCGACCACCTTGTTGGAGGACGTCCTCGACTACGATAAGCATCGTGTCTAGGCCTCCACTCTAAAATTTTCTTTGTCCATCTTCCATCTCTGACCCTAGCAACATGTCCTGCCCAGTTCCATTTCAGGGTTGTAATTCTTTCAACTGCGTCCGTCACACCAGTTTTTCTCCTTACTATCTGACTCGAAACTCTGTCCCTGAGTGTTACGCCCAACATTGACCTCTCCATCGTTCTCTGTGCCACTTGTATCTTATTAATTACTTTTCTGGTAAGTGTCAATGTTTCTGCTCCATATGTCAGAACTGGAAGTACACACTGATCAAAAACTTTTCTCTTCAAGCACATGGGAATAGCTGATTTAAAGACTTCCCTCAGTTTTCCGTAAGCTGCCCATGCCAGTCCTATTCTCCTTTTTAGCTCTGTTGTTTGATTGTCTCTTCCCAATTTAATCTCGTTTTTTAGAACCTCTTTTAGAACTAAATAACTTAAAAATAGAAAAACTGTTAGGTATTTTTTTGTTGATGGGTTTGGTCAAATATCCATCACTAATATTCCATCCACCATCCATCCATCATCAGATATTTCACTTGATAACGATAGACTTCGAAAATTAACTCTGTTGCTTAGTAAACTTGTAGAAATGTTCAAAATATACAACACTCCTAGTTTAAAAGTGTGCGTAGATGAAAGCATGGTTCCATTTCGTGGACGCCTTCGGTTTAAACAGTATATCAAAAACACAAAACACAAGTTCGGTAGTGTATAAGTAAGTTATGCTGTGAAGGACTATGTATACAATTTTAAAATTTATTGTGGTACCGATAGTGCTCATGGTGGAAATGAGTCCGCGAATGTAGTCCTTTATCTTATGAAAGGACTTTTGACTTGCGGAGGACTTTGGCTACTGAATTGTTGAATAAAAAAACTCATCTTGTTGGAAAACTTCGGAGTAATCGAAAATACAATCCTAAAGATGTAGTACAAAAAGATAAACAGATAAGCTAAAAACTACAGAGTCGATGTGGCCTAACTCAAAAACCAGAAACTGTCGTTTCTGAAGCAAAATCGTTTATCGATCTTTCGGACCAACTCAAAGCCTATTCTCATTATATGGGTACTAAGTGGTACAAAAAAGTTGCAGTGGAGTTTTTGTTAGGTTCAGCCGTCGTGAACGATTACTTAGTATATAAGGAAGTAACTCAAAACAAAATTTCAATTACAGATTTTCGTCAGGAACTTTGGACATCTCTCCTGAACTGAAACTCACCAATTTCCGCAACCAGACGATGTGGAAAACAATGAATATATTTTAGTTGAACATAAGTCACGATTGCGTTGTGTCGTGTATCGTATTGTGAAGGCAACAGACAGACGGGCGCAAAATTGCACTAAATAAAGCAACACCTTCAAAGTGGCACTGTTCTGCCAGTACAAAACCTTACTGTATTCTTTGTTTTTTTGTTATTATAATTGTTAACAATTTAAAAGCACTGTTACTTTATACCCAGGTTACGTGCACTTTAGACAAAAAAATTGTAACATTATTGGAAACTGATTTTTTCACGGGACTATATAATATAAAAACAAAAAAAAAAGAAACTTAACTTATGGACCAATATGAACGTGGGGTTCCCCAGTCCACCTTCTTTCGATTTCCATTAGCAAAACGTGGTACACACGGTGTGTTACGATTCAAAATAAAACTACTTGCAATGGGACAAATGTGTACCATGTCGCCCAAAGAGCAAGATTAGGTGCGATGCGTGCATTATACCTTAGTGTGCATAACGTGTTAAAAAAATTAGAAGACAAAAATACATTCGTAATTTCCAGGGTAAGTCTCTGAAGAGTTTTCAGATTGGGTTTAGGTTCGTTCGTTAGTGTCGTTAACTCATCGAAATTATAATAATTTTAAAGGAACACGCTTCATTTGTTTATTTAGACAGAACGTGGATTTTGGCTAAAGGTGGGATAAAACTGATTTTGCAGGACTAGAGTATAAAATCCATGAGACACATTGATACTAAGGGAAAGAAAAATATTATGTTGTATGCGCGTGGAAAACATGGTTTTACTGATGGAGCGGATCTTGTGTTTTTGTCAAAATAAAAATCGGCTCATTAACACAATAACATAAATAAGGAGATGTTTGTGAAATAGTTGAAAGAAAAACTGCTTCAATGTTTAGATGAACTATCTGTCATAGTTTTTGGATAATGCCCCATACCATTCGGAAATTTTAAATAAGCTACCAACAAATTCCTGGACAGTAAATAAAATAAAAGAATGTTTAACGAATGAAAATATTTCACATCCTTTAGGATTGTTTCAAGCCGGAATTACTATAGTTAGCCAAAAGGACTCAAAAACCAAAAATATTTATGGTAGACAGATTATACATAATTTTGGATATAATTGGTTAGGACTGCTACCTTACTATTGTGAATTGATGAAATGGATTCAGTGTCCGCAGTCATATAAACCCAAACCAACAACAAATATCACTGTGAATTCAATCATTCAGCCCACTGAAAATAGTTGGAGAATATACAAAACTTACTACGATAACTATATTGGACGTAACGGTTCCAGAGACACAGCAGTTTTGGAAACATGGCAAGAAACATTGAATACCACTCCTGCAATTTTAGGAAAAGTGTACGCCAAAATGTGAAAAGTTAATAGAAGAATATTGGATCCTTGAAAATCGCATAGATGCAATTAACCCAGCCATCATTTACAAACCAAATGAAGATACCAACGACAGTGATTATCAGTATGGATTTAAATCTTGACTAAACTGTAAGGTAACTTTCATTTTCTCATAACAAAATTTTTGAGTATTATTGTTATTTTATCAGTAAATACTTTCACTACAATTTAAAAACAATAGAATTTATAATGTTCTTCTATTTTTGCACTAATAATTGTATATTTCTCTAAATTAACGTAAAATACGGTATTAGTTGAAACTGTAGTTTTGCTATTTATACAATAACAGAATAATATGCGTAAAAGATTATATGGAGATGATACTAAAACATTTATAATTTAGACTGTATTAAACTTACTTGTGGAGGTGAAGTTGAAAACGCAATGGGCCCCTGAATGATAGCCGGGGAAATATTGTTGGACGAAATAACCACAGTTTGGGAAGCTGAGTTGGCGGTAACTGTTTTAAGAGTGCTTGGACTTAAAGCTATCGTAGGAGCAGGGTTGATTTTAGTAAGAGTAGGGGAAACTGGTTTCATTGCTGCAAGGGTTTCGGCTGCTACCGTCGTACGACTGTGTTGTTGTTCTTCTTGCATTTCTTCTTGCATTTCTATAAATTTTGCTGCTTCTAGTAGTATGTTCCAAGAACTCATGATATCGTACAATTCTATTGGCAGCCCGCCTAAAGTAAACCTGAAATAAAAAAATATCAACTAATATTTATTTTTAAACGGTTTTCATTCACGTTTAAGTAAAAGCACTAAAAATACTAATACCATGACAGTTAAAAGTTTAAAATACAAGTTTAAAATAATTAAATCACGAGTTATAAATGACATGATCTAATACCCAATAGATGACGGATGTCATTGGCTGTTAATGATTTGTCTCGGATAAGATAAATTCTTATGCAGTAGTAAACTCAACATGACGACTTGTCTATGAGATTATTAGCTAGTATTCCATTTATTGTAGCTATCATTGTGGAATTCTACATGGTTATATTTATTGTAATACCAGGTGTACTTAAAAGAGGTTATAGTGGGAATTGGACACATTCATGGTCGGAAACATACAACACAAAAATTTCTACATCTTAGTATTAATAGCTCAAATATCTTACTGTTGCAGACTTCTGTCATTGAAAAAAGAAGAATAATCAGGAATAATGGTAGTGTACATTCATTAAAAACTTTCCATTTGTAAAAATACTAATCTATAAACAACTATAAAATTTCGAAAATAATCTTTTGTTTTAACTGATTTATACTTTTATTTTGTTACTGCATGTGAATATGGTTTCGGTTAAATAATTGCTATGAGCACGTATGCTTCGTTCTATAGCATGATACTATAGCATCAACATATGCTCACTTGTCGTTCGAATTTTAATCGACTTTGCGCATGACGTCATAGCGAGACAAAGCCAGGGGCCTTGTGTGTGTCACATTTTAACGATGCATCATATGGCAACGTTGTTCCATTACTGTAACAACTTAGAAACAGAAACTTAAACTGTTAACGGTAAGTATACCTCCATGCCATATCTTGCACTAAGAAGTCATAACTAGTTACTTTATGTGAAAACGGGGTTTGGAAATTATTAAGTAATTTGTAAAATTAATTAAAGAAATATATGAATCTACAATTTGATTGTATTACAAAAAAAAATAAATATTGCTACAAAACATAAATTAATTATAAAAGGCCGGTAAAATGTAAAGAATTTGACCATAAAGGAAAAGCGGGTCATACTTGAAACTTTATGAATATCATTTAGACATTTATTTTATAATTTTTCTGATTTTTCTCTTGCAGATATTGTAATTATCTTTAATATTTTAATTTAGAATTCGTATTTTAAAATACATTTTACATCTGAAAAAAGCAATTTTACATCTTCGCTAACATTTACATATTTTGAAGCTTTGCAGTTTTTTAAATATTTTTTTTTTTGTTATTTTAATGTGTCGCCATTATAACTATGAAAAATATGTTTCAGTTCACTAGATACTACATACATCCAAAGTAACTTTTTTAAAGACCTATCAAAAATAAAGTATTAATTCAAGTTCTATTAAAATGGGCATTAGTAAATTCGTCATTAAAGTTGTCTTACGATACAAGAACATGCGCGTTGACTTACCTTGTTTTGTTATAGTATCATGGTTCTATAGTAATTTCCAGCCACCGAAGTCGATTAAAATTTACCCAACGTAGCAACAAATAATTACTAAATTTACTGGACAATTGGGACTGGAATCAGCGAACCGACTTTATATATTGTAAATAGTAACTAATCAAATACTGTGTAACAACCAATCAAACATGTTAGCTAAGCTAATTTTATAAGACTGTGTATCCAATGGAGTACATTCTACAAGTCAATAGTGTCAGAACAAACGTTATTGCCGCAGGGGCAGATCGATAAGAATTCAAAAAAATCATTTCTAGTTGTGTCTTATTAGTAAAGATATTTAGTATGAAATTGAATTCCAAAAACACTTCAATACTTAATTTCACTGCACAGGCTAGCCACAGCTGCGAGTAAAAAACACTTTGTACTTTTTTGTAACAAAAAAATGTGTCCCAAAGTAGCAAATTATGTAAACTTTTTCAGAGATACTGACAGCATTAGTCGCAAAAGTGTAGTCGTATAAACATAAAACTGAGAATATTAAATCTGTTCAACATGTTGAACAAAATCCGAAAACATTCATTAATTTGGCACAACAACTAAATTTATAATGGTATATGCCACCTTATTAAAAAAAACTGTCATGCTATGACACAAGATCTCACTGCAAGATCACCACGTTCATAACAGAGAGCTAGCGGGCAGCGTTACTTGTGTCAGTTGTGTGAATACATATTATCACTTATCCATGTTATAAATGAGTCAAAAATGGTTTAAACTTGTTTTAGAATTGTTTTCTCTAAGTGTTTGCTAAAAAAGCAGAAAATTGCAAACAATAAGATAGGTTATGTATATTTATATTATGTATTGTCGTGTACAAACTTTATTATTTGTATTGTCGTGTACATATTTATGTATAAAAGTTTACACTTCGGACATATTAGAATCAGCTAGTGGGAGGTTCAGTATAATAAAAAAGAGAGAATAGCTGGTCATCTACCCATCTTTCCCACTATTAAATTTGCACGAATCATGTACCTTGGATTATATAAATTTGCTAAATAACTTCTTTTGAGTTACTTTCGCACTAACCGTTAAATTTTGTAGAGGATCCCTCCTTCCAGAATCAATTCTCCAACTAGATTTATAGAGGGCTCTTATAGCTGTTCTCTTTACGTATTTATATCTATATCTCTCGGCCAGTGAAGTTGTTGCCATTGTTTCGTCAAGTATTTTAAGGATTTTACTTTATGCGCGAACGTTGAATATTTGGTAAATTATTATTTGCAGATTGTCTTTCAGCAAAATAGGAAAACAATCATATACTCTAGCGGAATTATCATGACTATTAAAAGTCGATCTTCACTTTGAAAAAGGCATATCTACACAAAATACGAAACAAATCAGCAGTAGGTGAATAAATCTAGTTACGTTTTCAATACAACAATTTTTTTTCGGATAAATGGGTTTTTAATTGATGAAAAAATAGTGAAAGTTCAAGTGGTATTGTTACTGTAGAATGATAATGTAAAATATACCCGACTTCTTTTTATACACAGTTTAAAGAAAATATTTAATTTACCTCAAAGAACTAATTTATATGCGTACAAAATATTTATATATATTTAGGTACAAAAAAAAATGTTTTTTTGAAATTACCTCAGCAATTTATTGATGGATTTGAACTTGTAGTAGCTGTAGCTCTTAATATAATAAAAAAATGCTACATGCTATAGGTCAAAAACGACATTTTCGGAGTTTGGCCTTTGTTTATAAAAAAATAGGGCTGATCTGATAATACCTCGATACGTATTTTATTATCTATGTCTCCCCTATGACTTTTAAATCGATCAGACAGCTGTAACATTTTTTTTACCTATTTAATATACTTACAGAAGTAAAAGAATCAATAAACACACAAATCAAATATGTAATTTTTCTGCTTGCAACTATGTATTTAAATAGTTTATTATATAAGTAAATTTTTGCGAAACTACTTATTTATACAGCTATTTAAAGTGCTGTTCGAAGTATTTCATTTTTTTTTATATTTAATTGAAATTCATTATGTCAAAAAGCGATAAGATATTGAACAACCAAATATAGTTACTTAAATAACTAGTTTAACTAAATATATTCGTATAATAAAATCTCCGACATTTTCATTCTAAAACAATATGAAATTATTACTTTTAAATTTTAATTTAATTTAGTTATTATTACTGTTATAAGTTGTTTATATTTGATGTATAAATAAAAAATAAAAACAATAAAAATGTCTTTGAAAATACAGGGTGAGTCATAAGAAACTGTACAAACTCCTCCTACCTCGTATGGAGGCCCCTATCGAGAATACCAAATGACCATTAAAAGTGTTTACTCCCATTGTTTAATAATATGCAGGGTTACTTGTAAATTTTGACTGAAATTTCTATTCGTCATAACTTTTGAAGGGTAAGTTCGATGTATCTCATAATTTTTTTCAAACTTTACACTACTGCCACCTAATCAACTGAGTTACTCAAACTAAAAAAAAACAGGTCCGGTTTTAAAAAATTAGTTCGTTCTGTTCATAGAAAAAATTTCACACTGTATACGGTTTTTGCAAACTCTAAGAAGAATTTTATGAATTAGACAAATAGAAAATTACAATGTAATATTTATTTTTTTCCTCACAATATTTTAACTAAAAAAATTAAATTTGACTATGAGTTAAAAGTTTAGCAAAGTGAACCATCTATGTAAAAAAATGTAACTTTTCTAGCAAGAACTAAATTTTTTGAATAAAAATTTAGTTTAAAATTTAATAAACAAACCTGACCTCATTCAAACGGAAAAAATCAGGTCCAGTTTTAAAAAATTAGTTCGTTTTGTTCATATAAAAAATTTCACCAAACATACGGTTTTTGAAAACTCTAATAAGAATTTTATGAATTCGACAAATACAATAATGGCATATATATTTTTTCTCCATATGATTACTTATCAAATTTGAATATGAATTAAAAGTTTGGTAAACTGAACCACAGATTGAATGCAGGTTATTTTAAATGTTAATTTTATTTTTCAATAACTCAAAAATAAAGCTGATTATTACTGTAGCCTTTTCTTTTGAGAAAAAGTAAGATATATATTTTCAAAAAAATTTCATTTTTGCAAGAAAATTAACACTTTTTAAATTGTGGTTCAGTTTGCCAAACTTTTATAATAATTCATAGTCACATTTCATTTTTTAATTAAAAATTAGGTAATCGTGTGGGGAAAAATAAATATGTCATTTTAACTGCCTATTTGTCTTATTTATACAATTCTTATTAGAGATTTCAAAAGCCGTACACAGGTTGAATTTGAATGAACATTTTTTTTTAAACCGGAACTGATTTTTTTCATTTTGAATTAAACCCGATTTCTTAGTTAAATTAAAGGTTTGTTAAAAAAATTTAATTTTTGCAAGAACAGTTGCATTTTTTACTTCGACGGTTCACTTTGCTAAATTCATGGTCAAATTTAGTTTTTTAATTAAAAATTAAGTAATAGTGTCAGGAGAAAAATAAATATATGACATTTTAATTGTCCATTTGTCTAATTCATAAAATTCTTATTACAGTTTTCAAAAAATGTGTGCGATAAACAAAACGAACTAATTTTGTAAATCTGGACCTGATTTTTTCTAGTTTAAATAAATCA